TCGTGCATTTTAAGAGAATCTCAATTTCCATAGACATTGTTCCAGTAATACCTCGCTGTGGGCTTTATTAATAACCTTACTGAAGGCTTTGGGGACATCCTCGTATGTTTGAAAGAATTGGTTTAGTTGAAAAATCATCTACTATTCTTACTCAGTACTGAAATCTATAAATTCTATCACTGTGGTGTCTTCTCCTTCGCGAGGGATTCCGGACAGGAAAATGTTCTCACAAACATTTTCTCATTAGACATGGAAGTGTTGGATCGGTTCCGTAAACAACTCAAATGCAACAAAACAACGTAATTGATCAAAGGTGAATGGAGAATGTAAACAACACCTACACGTAACAAAATTCAATAGGGTGGCAGGGTCGCAATTTAATTCACGAAAATGTGAATGCACAGAGCAATGTGTAAGTTCAGTTCTATGTAAAAAACAAAATGGTTCAAAACTGCGTTACGTATTGCGCTTTTTACGTAATATATTTATTAATAAAATTCACTTTTCACACAGCTTATGGCAGGCAAAATTCGCTCAACTTAATTCTTAACTAAACTATAGTCTGAGGTCAAGATTCCGGAACTGTAGATAAGAATTATTCATGCGCCAGCACACATTTGCACACTGATTGCCGCAGATTGTTGTTGTTGGCTTGTTTGGCTATGATAAAAGGCGTTGACACCTCAGGGTCGTATCCATAAGATGCAAGACGAGATAAAGAAAAAAATTACGCGCCAATTTCCCGCACAAAAAAGAGGGAGAGTGAGTAAGTGAATAAGCAATTGAGGTATTTCTTATCAAATTTGTGAATTTGAATTGGTTTGGACATGACGGGCGCTAGTAAATTGAATTGCTGGCAGAGTGGCATGTAAATGGATGAACGGTTGATTGTTTGTTGACGGAAGCAGTTTCAGTATTATAATACTAAGCTATAAGAAATTAAGTTTGTTCGCATTTAGAAAGAAAGCGGTCTCCCATAGCGAGCATAGCTCTACTAAATACGAGCGGCTGATTATAATTAAATGCAAACTGCGGGATACCACTCGAAGCGATGGCGATCTAAGTAGCATAAATTAAATAAATAATACAATTTATTTTGTAGAAAATAAGCATTCTAAGATTCCCCACTCAAGTTCCTTCGCTCGTTCTTGAACCTCAACTAGCGAGAGTTCAAGGCAGTCTACAGCGTCAGGCAATCATCATTCAGTGTTAGTTAGTACTCTCTATGTGATAGTTTCACTAGTACACACTGTACACCGGATTCTATGAAAATACTCCGTTCTATCTCTTCACTTTGACAGCCAGTTCCCGAAGCTGTCATTAATATGGTGGTTTACTTGGTGAGTGTGTCACTGGCACGCAAGGTCATCGTTTAACTAAAAATTTGTTATGAAATGTGCGTCGTGTGAATGACCCATATTTATGAGTTACTGAAAATAGCATTGAATTTTTATGCGTGGGTTGTTGGCTTCCCTATTTTGGCGACGTCATTAATGCCAGGCATACTCGTAAATCAAGTTTGATTAATTTCGCTCGAATGAAGGTTTTCGAGAAAAACCGCATACACTTTTTGTACTTTGGATTGTTCACAAATACATACATACATGAAGTGCTGCCTAAAATAATCTTTGTTCTCTTGTTCGGATGCTGTAAAATTATTTCTAAATTGCTGGTGTATTTCTGCCATGAAGAAGCATCTCACAAAAAACCATCTACCGTTCGGAGGCGACGTAAAATAGTTTTGATATTTGACATATTATCGAGCCTTAACCGTCAAAAAGACATAAGTGACATTTTTTTTTTAAAATTTTATTGTTGAGGCAGAAATGCATCTAGATTCTATAGGAATATTTATNGTAAAATTATTTCTAAATTGCTGGTGTATTTCTGCCATGAAGAAGCATCTCACAAAAAACCATCTGCCGTTCGGAGGCGACGTAAAATAGTTTTGATATTTGACATATTATCGAGCCCTAACCGTCAAAAAGACATAAGTGACATTTTTTTTAATTTTATTGTTGAGGCAGAAATGCATCTAGATTCTATAGGAATATTTATGCATCAAAAAGAAAATTAAAAAAAAATTCGCTTACGTCTTTTTGGCGGTTAGCGCTCTTTATGCCCTTACGTTGAGCGGAGAGCACGTTATATACATATCTGATGTTTTGATGTCCCATCGCAGATATTTTTCCCACCCTGTTTTTCATGCTGTCCTTGGTAAACGTCAATTTTGCTGGCCGATAGGACATTGGAGTGAGCATTGGCATATTCCTTATTCTATATATTGCTACTCCACCTAACGAAATGTCACCGTTTTTTCGAAGGTATGCCACCCTGATCTGAGCCACCTGCTGAATACATTGAGAGGAAAATTGCCTAAGGCTGAAGAGTAAGGAAATTCTGCATCCCTTTCTTTCCCTTCTGAGTTAGTAAAATTTGTATATTGTGAACCCTGGGAGTTATTGGTGGCTATATTCTTCCTGATTCTCACTCTTTTCAAGAGTATAGGCCGNGGCTGAATACATTGAGAGGAAAATTGCCTAAGGCTGAAGAGTAAGGAAATTCTGCATCCCTTTTTTTCCCTTCTGAGTTAGTAAAATTTGTGTATTGTGAACCCTGGGAGTTATTGGTGGCTATATTCTTCCTGATTCTCACTCTTTTCAAGAGTATAGGCCGCTTCCGACCCCGAATTGGTGTTATCTCTTAAATCTTCTTGGAAAGGCGCATCTGGCCATTAAAATAGGAGACTTTTGTGATGCTCAAGGTCTCCGAAATACACAAAAAGTGTCTGCCACAAGTGCGGAAATTTTTCCAAAATGATGGATGCCATATCGATGAGTATCAATATCATTGTGTTGTGCCTTCTCGTGATAATATAGTTTTCTCACTTATTTTAGAAGATATTATTTCTGTAATCCTCCTGCTTTATACTCAGAAATATTATAAAGTAGTCAGTAACTACTATTTTCTTCATCTATTTTTATCTAACCTACACATGCTGGAGAGCAAGCAAGAATAAATCTATTTTAAGGGTTTAGATAAGCACTAAAACGTTGGTAAAGATGTTTGCAAATATGCTCGAAAAACATCAAACAAATTTTAAGTACAGTTCAATCTTTTGTTTTTTATTAAGTTTATTTTAAAAATTGAGAAATACAATTGCCAATCAAGTGCTGCTTGATATTCTCAAAAAATAGAGATCTGCACTGGTCGTTTTAATTTTTTTTTTAAATATTCGTTATTCTCCATTTGAAATGAATTATTTTTAATCTCTTCAATAACAGCAATGCCTCCCCGTAGAGACAAACTTTTGGTTTTCTAGCATGGTATCCAAACGAAGTTACGGGTTAATAAAAATCAAATGTGTTTTTATTTTATTATTTGTAAGCATTTATTTAGTTCGGCGAGTAGAAAAAAACGCCCAAGAAATGGTCAAGAAAAATGTATATGGGCATTCCCATGGTGGCGCACGTGACAGTCGTACGATTTCAATGTGATACAAAAAAGGAATACCACTTGTTTTCTTTAACTTTTTTGGACCATTGTATAGCACATAATTAGCTCTATATTTAACCGAAAAATGAAATCAATCGAACTGCTTGGCCCTGAAATATAAGCATTTAAAGAGAGTATCGTTACGTGACAAAAAATGGAAGTTGATTTTTTCTTTTCTTACAAAATCGCAAAACTCTGCGAATTGTGGATGGCTATTTTCATGAAACTTATTTTAATATGATTTGGAGCAATTCTAGTTGTTTTTAGAGTTTTTTGAATTAATGCAAATTGTTTCAATTCTCTTTTACAACCCCAAGTGTGAAACGTGACGTGACGTGGCGTCACGTGACATAAATTTCCATCGTTATATTTTTGTTAATATTGCTTTTAAATGAATTTTTAACGCAAATAAAACATGTATTTTATGTAGAATATACTTTATATTTTGACTTCAGCGCCAATTCAGGGTCAATTTATTAGAAATCTATGATTTATTATGTTTCAACCACATACGCCAAATTCGAACCAAATCAGACCATAAATACGGTTTTTCGAAATATCTCGACCTTGGCACCACCTAGGAAGACCATTTTATGCAAAGATGATTCTACTTACATAGCCAGTATATATTTTAAAAAGCAGACAAATCGGCCCGTAAATATGTTAGATATAAAACTTTTTTTGTCGTGGTGGACCTTCCGCTGGAAACACCCATATATGATATATATATACGATATATATCTTCACGAGCCTTAGGTTTCAGATTCTCTGGCTAAATGTTTAGCAATCATATACTAAGTATAGTAACTGCTAGGAAGTTATTGTAAGAGGTCTCTCTGACATTTGTGATAGGTTAAAACTCTTCGATCTTAGATTTTGCAGAGGCCATTTCCCTATTTAATTTTTTTTTCAATAACAAATCCTGCTCACCTGTCCAGGTCCACCAAGTAATCCGGTAGAAAATCCACACAAAAGGCGCCCAAGTATAATCACCCAGAAGGATTGAGTCAAAGCGAGCGTAATCCAACCAGTACAAAGGGGAATAATCGATAGCAGTAATGTGGAGCGGCGTCCGAGAAAATCAGCTAAAGGTCCTGAGATTAGCGCGCCCACAGGAGTGGCCAAACTATGGACACTTGCTGTAAAATCGAAGAAAAAGTTTAGTAAAAAATTGAAAAATCGCACATTATGTACATATGTACATATGTACATATGTATAAACTTACCAATCCATGAGCCCATTTCAATGTCTATTGCAATCTCCGCTGCGGTCGAATTCACATCCGACAATTGTGGCAGTAGAACGGCCGAGTAGCCGATAGGCATGCCACAGGCGGCTGAGAGTAGCAGAACGGCGCCGGTGGAGAGAATCTGTTGTGTTGCGTTGTTGTTGTGTGGTTTTGATGTATTTATTTCGATGTTTTGTGTAGAGGGAAGGGAAAAAGAGGCGAAAAGCAAAATTATAAGTGAATTTAATAAACATTTTAATTAAGTGTACTTGGATGTTAAATGTATGCTATTACAAAAATATGTATATGTAAATTTTTTTTTAATTCATACATACATACATATGTATACATACGGCGCATATGACATATGTGATAAATTTTTTGCTGTGATTGTAGTTTTAATATTTTTTTTTGCTTGTTTTCATTATTTGCTGGACAATAATCTCATTACAAAGTGACCTATTTCTCCAGTTACTGTAATATGTAAACTGGATTCAACGTACATCAATGTACTATGGGTCAGGAAGCGATCAAAACTGGCCAAAATGTGAAATTTTATGGGACTGGCTTGCAACTTTTCGCTGGGTTGGGTTGTTGGGGTCGTTGATGGGGATGGGTAAAATCGATACTCGAAGCTTCGAACTTTTTGGTGCTAAAATTCGGATAAAATCGATTTTTTCTATAAACAATCGAATTTCGTCTTTATTGGCAAAAAAGCAACTCTGCAACTTCCTTCTTTCCGACTAAATTTAGTAGCACTATGTGTGGCACGATAAATTGATGTTTTTTCTATCTTATGCATCGAAATATTGCCATCGATGAATCGTATATGAAAACAAATATTTTCGATGCATCGAATGAATTTTAAATGTACAAGAAAGTGGAATTATCGGAACTTCGATAAATGTTTAAGTATGTATTATCTCACAGTGAAATGTTTTTACTGATTTAAATAGTTACACATCCCAGTTATACAAATAAATTCATAAAAAGTAAATAACACTTCAGATACTTTATAATCTGAAAACTGTTCTAATGCTTGGTTTTCATTATGTAAAAATTACTCACATCAAAAACTGCCTCAACAAATCGAATTTCAACCCCCCACTAGAAATCCCTAGTCGCAGAATATGAATCTGACATTAAATCTAAAAAAATTAAATCAAAACGACTTCGCTTCATGCTAAATCCATAATTGGTCTAAAACGAGGACAAATCAGAATTTCCGCCATTTCATGTAAATTTTGGTTTGGAAACAATGCATCATACTCTTACCCTGTCTGAAACAGCAACAATCAAAAAGAAGGTATGCGATCACTAGGCAAAAAGTGTATACCAATGGATTTTTAATTTGCGGATCTTATATGCACGGGAACAACTCCTGTAGCTCGTTTCTGTAACAATTCTCTACCAAGGCGCAAAATTGAGCATCGGCATCGGCATCGGCCTTTTTTCGCCGATTCTTTGCCGATTCTTTGGAATTTCTTTTCAAATGTTCAGGTGAAGCGACAGCCCACATTAAAAAACATTTGCAGACAGCTCACAAAAATGATTTTTTTTTTGTTGAAGGTGTTTCACGTTTTTTCCATACAAAAGTATGTGCGACAATTTTCTTTTATATGGAGAACACTGACAGCAAAAAAAATTGCCAAAAATTAACGGGATTTTATAGCAGCTTGAAACTTGCACTTCATTATACTAGAATGAAATGGTCTGCAAAACTACATACCAAAATTCTGATTAAAGAGTTTGAAATTTTGGTGAAAATAAGCAGACTTTTACTAACTTTTTTATAAAAAAAAATAATAAACATTAAATAAACAAGTAAGAAAGTCTAAGTTCGGGCGGAGCCGAACGTTAAATATCCGGCGCACGTATTAAATATATGTTTTTCACCTTTCCGAAAGCTACCGCTAGATGGCAAGCCGGGGTGTATCAATTTTGAGTAAATTAGCGTCCTTAAATTTCGAATTATTGAAGTTTCAAGCATTTCTGAAATTTACCGTTATATGAAAAGCGGCCGTAATTTTAGTCCCATTCCAATAATTTTCAACGTTTTTCTTTTATGTGGCAAGCACAATAAAAATACCGAGTTTGGTACAAATTGGTAGAACGGTTACCGATATACATATATGTGATCATAAGTGGGCGGTACCACGCCCATTTTCCAAAATTGTACCATAAACGTATTTCTTGGTAAAGAATTGTTGCAAGCATCAATTTTGAATAAATTAGCTTCAATATTTACTGATTTATCGAAGATTTTGTATTTCTCTAAATTACCGTTATATGG